TTGGCTGGCCCGTTAGTGTGTGTCATAGCATGGTCATCCGGAAGGTCATTCTGCTATTCGGCTGTTCTGTCGATTTGCATATTATGCTTTTATTATTATAGATAATTTATCTTGACCTACTCTCAGCCCAACTCTGTTTTCTTCTTGTGTTCTATCAGCATTAATGGGGAAGACATATGTATATCACATTATAATATTACCCTTCACAAACACACCCTGTTGCTCCTGCGTGAGCACGTTCTGAGGCACAGGAGGAATGAGGAGGGAGAAAGGTTACCAGTACAGGTACTAAATGCTCAGCTCGGCTCTTGCCTGCCCCTGTCCTCCTATTGCTTCCTTTTCCTTGGAATCATCAATTAGCAGGCCCTGTGTCCCCTTTATAGTTGACATCCATGAAACAATTCTGGCTGCAATTCAGAATCACCTGGAAAACTTTAAAAAATATCAATGCCCAGGCCCCATCCTTACAGATCAAGATTTTAGTTGGTCAGGTATATGGTCTGAGTCAGTGATGGCGAACCTTTTGAGCTCAGCATGTCAGCATTTTGAAAAACCCTAACTTAACTCTGGTGCCGTGTCACATATAGAAATTTTTTGATATTTGCAACCATAGTAAAACACAGATTTATATTTTTGATATTTATTTTATATATTTAAATGCCATTTAACAAAGAAAAATCAAGCAAAAAAATGAGTTCGCGTGTCACCTCTGACATGCGTGTCATAGGTTCGCCATCACTGGTCTAAGTGTTAGTAGTTTTTGAAAGCATTCTGGGTGATTCTAATATGTAGCTAAGGCTGAGAATTATAATTCATTTGAAGTCTTCAGAATTCTATAGCCACCACCATTTTGACACTTGATATTTACCTTAAGATGGCACACGTTCAAGACTAGTGAGTAGAGAACATTTCTTAGAAATTTAGAGACTCTTATGGATTATGAGCCACTGGATTTTTTAAAAAATTAAATCTTTATTGTTCAGATTATTACAGTTCCTCTTTTTTCCTCCCATAGCTCCCCTCCACCCGGTTTCCACCCCACCCTCTGCCCTTACCTCCCCTCCCCCACTGTCCTCATCCATAGGTGTACAATTTTTGTCCAGTCTCTTCCCACACCACCCACACCCCTTTCCCCCCCGCCCAAGAATAGTCAGTCCACTCCCTTTCTATGCCCCTGATTCTACTGTATTCACAAGTTTAGTCTGTTCATCAGATTATTTATTCACTTGATTTTTAGATTCACTT